TCCGTAGGGCTAGGGCGGGACTGGCACCCACATTTCTACAAGCTCCCAGGTGATGCTCCTACTACTGGGTCCACGGAGGGCACTTTATGAGCAGAGGACTGTCAGCCACCCAACCCAGTGAGTCTACAACCTGATCCAAGCCATCTTCCCCCATCTCTTCCCACGGGGCTCCCCTCACACACAATGGTCCTCTGCCTTCATTCTCCCCATACAACCTAGGGGATCCCTTCTGGACACACTCCAGTCATGTCCTATTAGCACTCCCCTTACCCCCCCATGGCTGCCCCTTGTTCTGAGCATACAGACCCGGATCATCAAAATGATCCATACGGCCCCTAACTTGTCTGAGACCTCTCTCCATCCACCTCTCCAGCCTCCCCACCCAATAAGCTGCCCCTCACTCTCTAGGCTCCAGCCCCACTGGCCTGCCTTTTATCCTTAAACATGCCCCAGGGCCTTTGCACCTGCCAGCTCCCTACCTGCCCGGAATGCTCTTTGCACGTTCTTCACGTGGCTTGCTCTCTGTCATACAAACCTCCATTCAAAAACCGTCCCAAAAGGGCAATCCTCATGCCCAGGCCTCAGGGCCACACATGTGCACACAGGTACACACACCTGCACACACCAACATTCCAGCCCACTGGAATGCCGACTAGGGAAAGGAGAACTAGACCTCGAGAGCAGACAGGCCAGCTTCCACAGCTTGCCAGGCTTACCCTCTCCTGCCTAGGAGGGAGCCATCTGGGATAGGACCTTGCAGGCAACTTTAATAGCCAAAGGCTGCAGAGCCCCCCCAGCCCTGTCTGTCTGGTACCAATAGCCTACGTTTCCTTTTATCAGAAGATTGTCTTAACTCCCCCATTTAAACAAGAAGGCTCAAAAAGGCAATGACCCTGTGACTGGGAACGCGTGATGACTTAGGTTCATACTTCAAAAGGGTGGGTCTGGGGTAAGACCAGAAAGGCAGAGGAGTCTAGCGAGCCTTACAGTTCCGCCAATGGCCAGCAGGTGGCGCTGTAGCTGCAAAGAGGGGGAAATACCCAGACCACAGCGAGCACCCCAACCCCTGCAGCCTGGGGGGTCCAGACATCAATTTTTCCTGCTCATCAGAAACCTGTCCCTTTCTGGTACCCCCCCGTCCCTCCACCTGGGAATATCTCTGGAAAGGGCAGCAGAAAGCACCAGCTCCAGCCCTATGTCCCTAGAAGCCTCCATGTTTCTCCTGAATGATGAGTACAGGAGAGATGGGGGGGGG